TTTATTTTATCTAACAAATTTGCTACAAATTATTTTTCTTTGTTTTGTCTGTTAATCAGTTAATGTCTATACATATAACTATTGATAAAAACTTCTTACGATTCGCTACATTTTATTATTTCTTGTCCTTTAGTCTTTAAAGTTTCAAAATCATGTATCTCAAAAGTAAGAAAATGTGACTTAGATCGTTTTTCCCCTGTAGTCTTCAATTGGACAAAGAATTAGACTCAGTTATCTAATTCTTGCACGAAAGATAAAATTTGCCAGGTTGCATTGGATATTCTCGGTGTAACCTAACTCACAATTGCAACCGAAATGGGACACACTATACATAAATATCCTGTACCCAGGGTAGAACATATAAAATTTTAAAATACCCCATGCGTTGAAGTAAACAGTGACAATACCAATATAGTAACTTTAATGGAATAATCCATAAAAACTTAACGGGCATCAATTAAACAAAAAAACTGCAATATATCATATACGTCTGTATTTAAAATGAACTGAAAATGCCTATTTATTACCTTCCAATTATGTTTTGACCTCAACCAAATTATCATTAATTAAAATATGTAATTATTTCAGTGCTGATTAATCATTAATTAATATATGTCAACTGTACCATTAGTTTATATTTTTTAAACAATGTCTTTTTTTAGGTATTCATTATTATTTACAAAAAACAACAGGGATTTTATAAGTAGGTTTTAATAAATATATAGATCTGAATATCAACGTTAGTAAGTCTATTGATATTAGAAATTAGAAAGAAGTTTATAAGTTTAGATTATTGTTTCTGGGACATGTGTTTTAATAATTAAAACAATTAACAGCAAAAAAATCTAGAATAATAAATATTTTCGTTTAAAAAATGTAATTACTATTAATAATAATAATTTAATACTTAGTCAATTAATGACTACATATTTCAATTTTTGTAGAGATATTTTAAATATTTATTAATAAAATAATTTATACAGTATGTCCTCGGATTGTCTTTACAAAAGGAAAAACTTATTTATTATTGAAATTTTGAAAAAATGCATGCTTTATAAAATTTTTTGCTTCTTCTAAAATGGTTAATCCTGTTTGCACTTTTCCTAATTTCCATACCGTTTTAAAGAAAATTAGAGAAAACATGAAAATATTGTTGAAAAAAGTCCTAAAAATCAAATGGCGTTTCTATGGTAATATTATTTCGATTTCATTCTTTAGTAGATGATTGTTATTAATTTTGATTAACCTCATATTTTTTGCTGTTGTTAACGTATCATATTTTCCGATAACTATTTTCAACCTTCCGTAGCGTTGGACTAAATAAGTTTTGTGCTCCTTTAACATTTTAAAACAGCAAGAAATATGACGTTTATTAAAATTCCATCAACAACAATCTATCAAAGAATGAAAACGAAATTATATTATCATAGAAACGCGTTTTGATTTTAGGACTTTTTCCGGAAAAAAATCAACTATATTTTCATGTTTTCTAAATTTTCTCTAAAACGGTATGAAAATTTGGAAATGTATAAACTGGATTAACCATTTTAAAAGTAGCAAATTTTTTTATGAAGAATGCATTTTTCTCAAAATTTCAGTAATAAAGAAGTTTATCCTCTTGTAAAGACAATCCTAACATTGAAAATGTAGGTAAATATTTCTTTAACTAATATCGTAATTAAATGTTTAGAAATACTGCTTACATAAATTCAAAACTTGTTATTCACTAACCTAAGTCAACAAATTTTAAATGTATGAAAGCATATGGAAATACCCTATCCTCGAGAAACAATATGATGCTGATCTTGAAAATGGACACATTTAATAAAATAATTGAAATTAAAATAAACTATTTTGTTATCAAAACAAGTGGGAGGACAAATCCCCGGTGGTGGAAAATTGACAGAAGCAAGCAAAACAGCTCATAGTTAACACTAGCCAAAAGTTGCGAAACTTGATAAGCAAAGGCAGGAAAACTGTCAAAAGTATAATGGATATACTAACAGCGCTCAGTAGCCTTTTAAAGTTGATAGGTTTTATAAAATCACGGGATTCTGAAGAAAAAACAGTAGAATAAATACTATCTCAATGTAATAGCCAGTGCAAAATGCGCGTTGTTTTAGACTGAGCCATGGTTTAGACTGGAGCTATTTGCAGCACACGATGGTCACCTATGGTGACAGTCTTTGTACTGTCATCATTGGCAAAATGCTAGATGAAAGTCCCAATTTCTTTATTAGACTTAGTGAAGAGACAAAATTTACCTCAAAGAAGAAGAGACAAAATCTACCTCATTAAATATATCTATCTATTACATATTTCTAAAAATTACTACTAATATAATACTAATAATTTTGAAAGTGAGAGAGTTCTTGAATCTTAAAGTGTTAAAGTTAAAGTGTCTTCATTTTAGTTTTTTTTTGTTATAAAAAAACTTTAAACTTTAGTCAATAAGGAGAAAATCTATAATTTTCTTTAATCTTCAAAAAACAAACGTTTAGGCTAGAAGCTTTCATTAGTGTCATATTCGGCCCTTTAACAAGGGAATTCCAATACAGAGCTGCGCTAGAAGTAATTCTGGACTTGCAATCAAGCCACTGTTTCGTGAAGGACCTGGCCACTAAAGATGCCCTAAGATTAAGCAGGGAATCCAATCTGTGGAACCAGACCAACTACGGTCACTCGAGAATATTGCCAATGATAGGGAAATTCATGGCGAACATCACTCCATATCTGCTGGAGCAGAAAACGAACTATATGCTCATCAAACATGATTTTGGAGAAAAGATAAGGATTCGCATCCCGACAAGAGAAGAATGGGAAAGCAACCGAGTAATGAACACTTAAAAGATAGCAGTCTACACGATGCTTCCGCAACTTCAGGAGGCACAGGTATAGGCATCTTCTCAGAGGAACTAGACATCCGACGATCTTTAAGGCTATCGGAGAATTGTAATGTTCTACAAGCAGATGTTAAAGCCATAAAAAAAGCGGCTTGTTGTATACGACAGAAAATTGCTGATGACGGGATATCGTGATATATTCTGACAGCCTGGGCGCTTTAAGAAGAATTACCATGCAATCAAGGAGATCGAAAAGGGTGATGAACTGCCGAGAAGCATTGTCCTGGCTGCGTCAAGGCGGGCTACTCTGTGCTTGGTGCCAGGCCACAGCAATGTGGTGGACAATCAAAGCAGACAGACTCGCTAAAGAAAGGGATAGGGGAGAAGCCGTAGCAGATGGCCCACCACTTGTGACGATCAACAAACTAAAGGAAGCTATAAGATCTACCATCAAGGCAAAGCAGCAGGAGACGTGGCAACACCGTGAGGACTGCGCTACAGCTCGAAGACTATGGCCAATGGTAGATAGCAAAAAGAAAAAAACAACTTCTACAGCGCAAAAAGAACCTTATACGCATAATTATTGTAGTTGTCATCACTGGAAACTGCCCCACGGGGGTAAACTTCGTGAAATGGAAGATTTCCAATGATGACTACTGCAGACAATGTGGAGAGAACGAAGAAACCATAGAGCACCTGCTTTACCGACGCTTTAAAACTTTAGGTGAAGGTTTTTTGGAGGAACTAGAGCACTTTGGAGGAACAACAGCACTTTTGAGCATTGATGTCAAAAATTGGGCCGAACCCGCATATACAAGGTGGTTTGAATTGTATTCGGGAAACTTCAGCAGCATATTCTGCAGATGAAAATAATTTTAAAAAAATCTTATAAATGTATGTCCTAAAATGCCAAGTGTTGGAGATACAGGGTGTAGAAATTTCATTTTTATTACGAATTTTTTCAAATAATTTCTGAACTAATATCGATTTTTGATGAAAATTGGTGTCTTTTGGACATGAGAAATTTTATTTCGATGTTAATATGACTCCTACTTGTAGGGGGGATACTGAATGAAAAAATATATCTATTTTTTGCCATTTTTTAGGTAAACAGGCGTCTTGATAGAAATCACTTAGAATAACCGTTGTCAAGATATTTGAAATGTAAATAATTATCAATACATATCATCATTGACAAAAAATAAATATGTTCACTAGATTATACTTGTTATTTTTTTAAATTAATCATAAATTTTTGATGAAATAGTTTCCGTTGAACCTGGCACAAAAAAATCAATTTTATGATTTCAGCCAAACAACTATCTTGACAACATGTTCAATTTTTGGCAATGATGATATGTATTGATTATTTTGATTTATTGATTATTTGAAAAACGATTATTTGTAGCGATTTTTACCAAGATACCTTTTTACATAAAAACGGCGTTAAGTATATTATTTTTTCACTCAGTAGATTTATACAGATATGGACAAAAATATATTATTCTTCAAAACCTTTAAAAAATATGTAGGTGCAGCTCCCAACAAGTGGGAGTCATATTGACATTGAAATCAAATTTCTCATATCAGTAAACTGCCAGACACCAATTTTCATCCAAATATCGACATTAGTTTCAATTAGTTCAGTTTTCATTAGTTTCAAATTCTTTGGAAAAAGCCGAAATAAAAATGAAACTTCTACACCCTGTATCTCCAAAACCAAGCATTTTAGGGCATACATTTATACGAACTTCTTTTTACACATTTTTCTCTGCAGAATATGCTGCCGAAGGTTCCCGAATACAATTCGAACCACCCTGTAACCACTTTAATATATAATTTGTCTTTGTTTTTAATAATTATACTAAAAACAGAAATACAGTCTGGAAGACACATTTGAGAAATTAAAAAACTGCCTTTTTAAAAGCAGCGCTAAAGGTAACTCGAAAAAAAAAATTTGGCACAAAACAATATAATTGGCCCACTTGTAGGGGTTAAGGCCTTTTTACGCTTCTATATACTATTTTTATTTAAGTTAATGTAATAATAATTTAATTAAAAGTGATTTGGCTGTTGTGAAAATAACAAAGTGCTGGGAAAGTATTATTATAAATCAGATTTCCTTCGATATACAATATAAAAAAATAAGTTACTTACTTAATGCTGGATTTGACTTAAACAAATCCCCAAAGTCTACATTGAAGTCCTTGACGCCAATTTTAAAGTTGAACGATTTAAACATTAGATGATTTTCTTCTAGTTCGCCTTGTATCACAGCTTGCCCATTAATTCCACCTTAAAATAAATAATAAATTCAAAATTTACTCTTAATTGTTTTAATATAAAATACTTACTGACATTAGCATGAAAGTCGCCATTTTCTTTAATAGGATTCTGCAGAATTTTAAGATTAATATTATATGCTCCGACAATATCCAAGAATGGAATTGTGACACCGACTCTGTAAGTCATCTTGTCTATATCCAGTCTGAAAGTCACAGCTAGTATTAGTCAAAAATTTCAAGTACAAGCAAAAGTTTGTTATTATCTTAAATTCTGTCACGAGTTATATAAAAAAAAATTTGGAACTGCGAAAAGATAAAATGCATTAAGTATTTTAATGTATTATACAAACTCTTTCAACAACTGTTGCAGTTCTATGCGAATTTCATGTGTGTTAACAGAATACAGTACATGTATGCTTGTCTTACTTCAGTTTAGTAATTTCAAAATCTCCTGCTCCACGCACTTGTAAGTTTTCCAAATATGCATATAATCCAGATTTCTCTGATCCTTGGAAAATAGTTACTTTATCTAAAAGGAAGGGATCGATTCCAGGGGCATCTATTTCAGGTAGACCTTCAGCCAATTTGGGTTTAAGATGTTCGATGGATTCTTTAATGCAAGCCACGACATTTGGATCTTTTTTATGACATATATGTATATAGTCAGCTAGAATTCGTTAAAATGTAATAAAAGAGAAAATTATCGAAAATTCAAAGTACACTTACGAACTTCGCTCAAAACGAACCCGAACAATAATACATACAAGGTAAAGTAAGCTCCAACCATTGTAACGAAGTGGTTAGAAAAAAGGAAATACTCGCAACTGATTTGCAACACCCATTATTTATACTTTTATAGAAAATTCGTAACTGATGATGGCAAATGACTGGCTTGCAAATAATTAAGTACGTAATACGTATTTACAGAGTGAGGCAACTTATAATTATGATAAAGAAATCATCATTAAGGTTGAAACGGTTAGATAGAAAAAAACAGATTTTTTACGATAGGAAAATTTAGGTGAGAGAAGGTCAGTTTTATTTTTATGCCTTTGAAAAAGAAGAATTTAAGAAGGAAATATGAGAAACAATATAATTTAGAATATACGCGTCCACCAAATATATAGCAACAAAAAACGTAATTATCTTCTTCAAACCAGCTTTATTATTGTACAAGTTCGGTTTCAAGGTGCGTGGAAAACCCAAAATGCGATGTTTTTTGATATAGTTCCGCTGCTGAATTTACATAAGATACAGTCCTTCAAAATGTAAACACGATCCATAAATATTGCAATAAAGAGGACCATAAAATTAATTTCAAGAACTAAACGTAGAAGAATAGGTTTATTCAATAATAGAAAAATGCAATAAAAGTCATTTGTTGAAAAAATAACATTAAGATAATAATTCCGTATGATCGAAAAAAAAATGAAAATGAATGAAAATCATATCGTAGCCATCGCTGTCATTTTATATGTAAATGTATATGGGAGATGTCATCGATCGTCATTTCCCAGCCAACTGGAGACCGTTTTTTCTCTATCATACGGTATATTGTTTTATTAGGAGTAAAAATGACACTTTTCGCGGCGAGACTGTACATTTGACATACAGGCAAGGTTTGACCTTTGGCAACACTGCCTATTGAGAACGCGTCGTCGACCGACGAGCGGGCCGAGGTTGCCATATTTCAACCATAAAGCTCTTGTCACGAGTAATGAACAAATTAACAACCTGTATATCGAGAAATTATGGTTACGCTCGTTGAATTTGACACTTTGTCAGTTGATTAAATTTTTATTTATTTTGATACTTTTGTGCTTAGGCGTAAAAGTGCTTTATTTTTATGCCTAGGCGTTAAAATGACTTTTTTATATTGTCAATCAATCACCTGGCAAAAATTAATACTTATGTGACGTTTGAAAAAAAATATGTTTTAATATATTGTACCGAAAGGCTATTAAATTTTATTTGTTAACAGTTTTACATATTGATATTTTGAATTACTAAAAAATTGGAACAAAACTGTGCGTAATACATACAGGGGGAGTCTTATATAAGTGCAAATATTTTTAGGGGTAGTATATTTCGACCCCAAAAACACGGTTGTGAGGTTACTTTCGCGAAAAAAAAATTCACACTTCACAATTTGGATTTTTTTTATCTTTTTTTTTGTTTTTAGTTAAAAAACATAATTTCTTGATAATATAGCAACGATATGTTCTAAAATGCTTCGTTTCGGAGATACAGGGTGTAAAAGTTTTATTTTATTTCGATGTTTTCCAAATAATTTCTTAACTAACGCTGATATTTGGGTGAAAAAATGTGTGTTGTATATCGATATCGCTGTGTTATGTGTTATACTTATAGGGGGGCCAGCTAGATATTTTTTGGCTGCTTTGAAGAGTAACAACTTTTCGTCCGTACATTACTGAATTACTGAGTGGAAAAATATAAATTTCCGTAATTTTTTGCGTAAAAATGATCTTTTAAATTTAAAATCGCTATGAAATCGTCCTAAAGATATTTGAAGAGCACACGGGAAAAACTATGAAAGTCCCATTTTTTGCTAATTTGATTTTAATGCATAATATTTTTCGTCATAAAAAGCTACACCTTTTGGTACCTAAATAAATGGGAATATCGATAACGGCCACATAGAAAATTGAAAAAGAAAAATTGACATAGAAAAAGACATTTAAAAATGGGAAAACGATAAAACTCCATACGTAATTTAAATTAAAAAACTCCTTCTGAACATTTATCCGCCCGTTTTTGGACATTCATCATTTCTCCCGTGTGCTCTTCATTTGGTATCAAAATAGTTAATACATGATACTAATTGACAAATCACCCAGACGCCATCAATTTAAAAAAAATGGATTTTTTTACAAGAAATTTTCGAAATTTTTTAAATGTTTAATTAAAAAACATAATAACTTCATAATATGGCAACATAGGTAGTGGATATGTTACGGTTAAAGTCCGATGTGCGGTTAATGTCGACATTAACATGTTAATGTTTGGGTTAGGTTATGTTTTTGGTTGTTTTGTTGTGTCTTATTCTCGAGATTAACCGGGTAATGTCAATATTAACCGGACATCGGACCTTAACCGTAACAGATAAATTTACAAAATAGAAAAAAAACCCAAAAAATATCTAACGGTTCTAAAAATTTAAATAAAAATCATTTTTTTGGAAATTTTCAAAGTAAAATATTTCGGGTATTTTGGACTTGAAAAACGGTAAAGGGAAAAAATGTTTCTTTTATCGAAATCTACCAGCCCTGAAAATATTTGCACTTATTTAAGACTCACCCGGTATATAATAGCGGTAAAAAATTAATGACTGATAAGAAAAACTCACGGTTCGATAAGAAAAACACAATCATTATGAAAATGAAGACAAAAAATGACAATTGGAATTGTATTGTGAATTATTGTTATAGTCGAATATTTTTAGCATGAAGGTAGAATTTACATTGATGCTAAAGAATTCATGCTTTTAGCACGTGAATGCAATAAATGTAAAAGTTACGGAATTTTCTAACCAATCAAAGTTTTTATCTTCTACCAAGTCAATATTGTATCATCGTATCGTCGGAAATAAAGCGCACGAAAATTCGCCTTGATGATAATTATTCTTATAATCTAATATATTTTGCAAACCAGCGATTAAACATTCAAATGAAAAAAAAGCATATTAAATTAGTAAAATGTTTCCTAACGAATTGTCCAGTACTTTGTACAAAATTGATACGAACATGTGCACCTCAGTGATTTATATTGGAAATACGTTCAATTTGTAATGCGTTTGCGGAAAGGAAGAATTTTAAAGCCGGGCCCCCATTAACAATGTGCCACGCCATGCCACGCCACGCCATCTCACGTTATCACATGTGTAACTTCATTATACAGGGTGTTCCTTAATGACAAATAATGACCTATTCTAAAAAAAACTTTATATGAATATATGTCCTAAACATCTTAACTTTTAGATACAGGGTGGTAAAACTTTGTATTTTATTTTTCAAATTACCTCCGATGTTATATTTGATACACGTTTTCCCTGCATTAAAATGCTTATTTTGATATACAAAAAAAATGTTTTATTTCTTAATTTCCTTCCAGCTGATTCAGAAATGATTTCCACACAACAATCACCGGATCAGATTTTCAGCCATTTGACCCTGAAGGAAACTGACTTTAACTTTTTTAAGCAAAAACTATGCGTCGGAATTAAGAGATAAAAAATGTTTCCAAATGAATGGAGATTTTGAAAAGTTAGTGGTGTACCACTTTTTTCTCCAATAATATTCAATGTAAAACCCATATGGACACTGGTTGAAATAAATAAAATTCTTTGAACATCAAAAAGGTATTTTGATACATAGAAGACGTGTATGAAGTTTCATAAAGATGTCTGTAACAACAACTCAACAAACTGTAATAAAATCAGAGTTATTATGCATTTTTTTTAGAAAAATTTACCACTGTATCTCAGAAACTGAGATGTGTAGGACATACATTCATATGAAGTTTTTCTCTTAAAATGGGTCAAAGAATCAACCCTTAAATATTAGCATATCATTAAGGAACACCTTCTATACTATTACACCATTAAATTCTACGTAGAAAGGTGCTTGGAAATGCTTTCATAAAAATACAAAATTTTCCATAGCAAAAAAGTTATAGCGATTTGTTAAAAATGCACATTTTTGAAAAACACCCCGTAACTCCGAAAGGGTAACAGATACCCATGTGCAGTTTTTACCATAATGTTTTTGGTAAAAGTTCAGCTCCAGACAACGATATTAGTTTTCGTCTATCTTCTTTAGAAAAAAGTGTTTGCCTTTGAAAGTGTCCAATTTGACCCACCCTGTACACCCTTTCCCACGTCGCGACACGTGGCGTGGCATGGCGTATTGCTAATGGGATCCCGGCTTAAATCTATTGAAAGCTTCATAAGTCCAATAAACTGTAATAAAATCAGAGTTATTATGCATTTTTTTTAGAAAAATTTACCACTCTGTATCTCAGAAACTAAGATGTGTAGGACATACATTCATATGAAGTTTTTCTCTTAAAATGGGTCCAAGAATCACCCCCTTAAATATTAGCATATCATTAAGGAACACCCTCTATACTATTACACCATTAAATTCTACGTAGAAAGGTGCTTGGAAATGCTTTCATAAAAATACCAAATTTTCCATAGCAAAAAAGTTACAGCGATTTGTTAAAAATGCACATTTTTGAAAAACACCCCGTAACTCCGAAAGGGTAACAGATACCGATGTGCAGTTTTTACCATAATGTTTTTGGTAAAAATTCAGCTCCAGACAACGATATTAGTTTTCGTCTATCTCCTTTAGAAAAAGGTGTTTCCCTTTAAAAGTGTCGAATTTGACCCACCCTATACACCCTTTCCCACGTCGCTACACGTGGCGTGGCATGGCGTATTGCTAATGGGGTCCCGGCTTTAATCTATTGAAAGCTTCATAAGTCCAATAAAGGATGTATACTGTAGGGTTCTTCTTGGTTCTTCCATTCTACGCAATTTCGAACCAATCTCAGCCATTGTCTTCCTGCCACTGTTTTGACGTCATAGTCGGTACGCCATAATCCGTAAAACATTGAAAATGATATGGCTGAGAACCGCGGTTTGGATTCCGCGTAAACAAAGTAAGCCTTGTCCAGATTATCTTCAGCAGCAAAAAGTAGATGTTAACTTAAAGTACTTTACTTTAAATGATATTATATAATAATTTATAAAAGAACAAGGTGAAAGAAATGCAGGTCACATGATAAGGTTATGTTAATATAAATATTCCGCAATAGATATAAATCCTACTGTTAGCAGAACAAAGAGAACATTTATATTGTCAAGATTTATCTGATCAGCGTCCAATAAAGATGTACCTAGTGTTAGTAGACTTTAGATCCCATTGTCTCCTAAAATTAGTGAAATTCGCTAAATGTCAGCACTTCCCTGGATTATTCCTATAGTATTAAGTTTTGTCAGTGATTATTAGTGATGGGATAACTCGAGCAAAAACTCGCTCGAGTACTCGATTATTGAAATAACCGACATCGCTCGATTATGAACGAGCGATGCAAGTGACGAGTGCCAAGCGACGAACGCAAGCGACACTAGAATGAAATAAATTGAAATCCGATTTTAATGTGACGTACTCGATAAAAAGCCGAGCGAATTTTCTACATACATTGCAGGTAGCAAATTTATACGACGCCGTATTATATATTTATCCGCTGCGTATCTGAGGGACAAAATTTTACGACCTACATTGACAATGCTTTGTAATAAACTAAATAAAGCGTCAAGAGATCGACGAATCGCTCGCTGCTTGCTACTTGCCATTCATCACTGCGCACGCAACTTACTGCTTGGCGCTTGGCGTTAACGAGTACTTACAACAAGCGACGACGGCGACGGGTGAAAAACCGTATTTTTAAATACGAGTGATATTTCGCTCGAGCGATCAGTCGGTTATTGCCATCGCTTGAATCTCGAGTACTCGATTGTTGAAATTAATCGGTTTTTCCCATCACTAGTGATTATCAATACCGATAGAATTGAAGCTATGGGCAGAGGAGTGGTTATCAATTACAACATTTTTACTTTGGAAAGCAAAGATTTCATTTATTTGCAGTTTCAACTCTACAAAGAAAATATATTTTAAAGAAACTGAATACTTGATAATTGACAATTTGTAAATCATGTCTGCTTTTGATACCAGGCCCTTTTTAAGATGTACGTTTTAAATAAAACAAATATTTGCCAACAATAGATGAATTATTTGGGAAACAACTGATTAAATGAAAACGATTCCATGATACCATTGCCGGCATTTAAAAACACTCTACCTAATGCATTTTCGATAATGGGCATCAGTTGATCCAAGAAGGGTTGTAAGTTTCTATTAATAGCGTCATTGATAATAGTCACTGAAAATAAATAAAGAATATTTCTGTTTCATTCTAAACTTTAGAAACTCGTTATACTTACATAAAACCTTATCTTTGTCATTGAAAAGATTTTTCAAACGAACAGATCCGCCTCCAACTCGCGCCTTTAACTTTATTTCACGATGTCTCACATATATATCTCCATCTTTTTCATAAGGTTCGCCCTTTAATTTTGCTCTTGCGCCTATATCAGCTGAAAGTTTAAATTGTAAATTATAAAATATCTATATTTATTTTATGTCATAATTTTAATTATTCAGTTATTACATATTTTTTAACATAAAGTAAAAGAATGGAGTGGATAAGACAAACGACCGAGGTAATAGATCAGAGGTAATAGGACATCAATAAAATCCCTGTAGTGGCAATGGGCAGTACACAAAAATTTTACAAATTGTAGACAAAGGTAAAGTAAACAAACAAACAAATAAAAGAGAATACAATACATTATACAAATAATATAATAATATATTGAAAGCTGAAATTTGGTTTATAGATTAAGGAAAAAAATAGAAAATCTTGAAATGAAACTGTAATAATAGAACTATTAATTTTTAAATAGCTCTATTTAAGAAACCGGAAGGTTTAGGTATAGGAACATGATATATCGTTGAAAGGCAATTTTATTAGTCTTTTAATTTTTTGAATAATATTCATAGGGTTGAATTAAAAATATCAAAGATTTGAGTAACTTTATAACAAACGGAAATAAATAATATTTTTGCTCTCTCTCTGTGTAATATCCAATTGGTTTATTTAGACAGATTGAATATATCGACTTTCGTTAACTTATAACCCAAATTTCGAGTTTAAAAATGTTTAATTCTTATGATTTTGCCAATGCTTATTGACGATCATGTTTTTTGTCAATTTCACACATGTTTTATTTGTTTATCTTAAAAACTGTTTGAAATAGTATAGGTTAGTATAATAGAAAAATTATTATGAGATATGAAAGTAGTTTTCACAAATGTAATAATATACTGGGAGTTCCACTTAAAATAAGAAAGATGCTACCACGTTGTTGCCGAATCATTCAAAAAGTCGAATGATTCGGTAACACTGTAGTGCTGTAAATATTTTAGTAAAAATGAAGCCGGTGCCTGTATGTAGAAATCCAAATTTTCAAAAAACTCTATCACCAGTTCTCCATAAACGTCTACGTGCCATCGCCCTGAATCACCCTTAATTTTGAACCTAAATTTCAAATTTATTGAATCAACAAGTAGAGAAATGACTCCCTCTGCCACAATTTTTTTGACATCCGGTATTGTATTTTTTTTTCATTATATTGTATATAATTATTGTTAATTATTATTTTTAATGTGTATATATATTTAAAAATGAACTTACTTATATTGGCTTCCAAGTTTCCAGTTCCTTTTACAGGTACCAACAGAATCTTTCCATCTAGAGTATATTGAGCTTCAATCATCAGTTGTGGTATCTCAACATCAATAATTACCTCATGGTTGAGTAAATTTATACTAAACATGCAAATAAAAAAACAGTGTATCCGAATAGTATGCATTTAAACAAAAATCATTTTTACCTTAAATTACTAATAGTAAAATTGCTGCAACCATACGCACTTACATTATTAACAACAATTTTTAAAGTTTGAGTTTCGTCTGAAAAGAAATTTTCCATAATTAATGGTTCTAAACTAGGAATGTTGTACTCAGGAATTCCTAAAATGGTTACCTCTATTATTATGAACATTGTCATTAGATCAGCAAACCTTTTATTAAGTATGGCCTCAAATATTCTATAGATTTTATTACACATTCAGATAAATGTTGGTCGTCTCGTTTGCATACATGGAGAAAGGATGCTAAAGAAAAAAAAATATATTTATAAAATTATTCTAGTTATAAAGTTTATTCTAATTATTTTAATATTCTATTAAGATTAATTCTCAAATAGACAATTTTGACAGTGAGACACCCCTCAGCATTACCTGTCTAAACAGTTAGAACAGTTTACTCTAAAAGAGAGAGATATATATATCAAAATTTGATAAACGTCGACATTCACAAAGCCATTTTCGGATTTTCTTGCATTTCGAATTCAATGTAAATCTGATTGGTATGCAAACGACACATCTTCTATTTTAAAATAGCTGCAATATTCAATATTCGCATAGAGCTAGCCGCAAAGTCGTAAATAAGGTTTCTGTTGGTTTATCCAAAATTATATTTATAATGAAATAAAAAAAAATCTAAGAAATAATATTTTTAAATATGCTATGATTAGTGATGTAAAATTACCGGTAATTTATAAATCGGTAATATTACGTAATGTTATGGTAACATTGGTAATTTATAAAAACATCTTCTTAAATAGTATTATTATATTTCCCGCCTCTTCCTCTTAGATCACTATGTAGTTCACTCTCTCGCCGTAAGGTGGAGCCACGCATTTTAAAGCCAAACAAAAAATTGTGTCGATCCAGACCCTTTCCCGGAATATATCACGCCGGGCCGCCTTCAATTCATTATTCTTTCGCGTGTGAGTGGAACCACGTCGCGTCACCGTCTGTCATTTATAAAAAATCGGACGCGAGTGATAACCAGTGGATTCGAACACTAGTGTTACACTACAGATGACAAAGTGCCTTACAATGTTACTCATCAATTTATAACTTTTGGACTTATAAATTATGGACCTTCTGATTCGGAACGTGAGTACCTGAAAATATTTTCCTTTTTACACTCTGTAGACTATTACGCTTAACAATGTTGTAAGTGGAAACAATGGATAGTACTACTTAACGGGTTTGGTTGACACAAGTTCTAATTTTATACGATGCTAACGAGCTTTGATATTGGCATTTCATGAGCCTCTAATTTTATTCTATAACTTTTTGTGTTTTTTGCTAACTAGAACAGTAAAAGTTTTTGTCTATGTGATATGTCAATTATTGTTAAAATCCTAGTTGATTATGACTAAGAATATATAATAAGTATATCGTTATAGGCAATAGTTAATATAGTACAGAGTTGGTACATTACACCTGTTAGCACATTACATTTGTTAGCACAGTTAATATTGTTAACGCCAACGAGTTTTGGCCTGTGTTAACCCCAACGAGTTTTGGCATGTAGTAACGCCAACGTGTTTTAGCCTGTATCAACGCCAACGAGTTTTGGCCTGTGTTGGCCAACGTGTTTTGGAATGTGTTAACGCTAACGAGTTTTGGCATGTGTTAACGCCAACGAGTTTTGGCAAGTGTTAACGCCAACGAGTTTTGGCATGTAGTAACGCAAACGTGCTTTAGCCTGTGTCAACGCCAACTAGTTTTGGCCTATGTTAACGCCAACGAGTTTTGGCCTGTGATGTAGAATGTAGAATGTTTAGGAGGCGATTTAATCACCGCTACCTGATAGATATATTGTGTGTTTCCCTTTCTTGAGTTATAACGAGTTATAACTCATCATACAGTCTCAGGGCTTTAACAAAAGCCAGTATCTGAGACGGCTCCACAAAGGCCAGCTCTCCATCCTCGACATCAGACGTACTAAAGTTCATGGCACGAATGGTTGTTGTCTCGGCGCACTCAGTGATAAGGTGTTCTGGTGTGGCCTGTGTTAACACCAACAGGTTTTGGCATGGGTTTACGCTATCCAGAATTTTCAAAATTCTCGTCGTCTGTCAAAATTCTATTATCTAACTGAACAGACTTTATGTCAATATATTTTGAAGAGCACAAGTTATATATATATATATATTTTTTTTTCTTTCTGCAGGTTAGCATGTGTTAACGCCAACGAGTTTTGGCATGTGTTAACGCCAACAAGTTTTGAGATGTTGCATTTCAACCTATAATTTTATGTTTTAACCGTTTTTTTTTGTTTTGCTAACGAGTTTAGTAAAAATTTATGTGTTATATGTATATAAATGTTGTAAACTCCTTTCTCTCTCAAATTTGGTTTAAAATATTATAGGAGGGACTCGACGCCGAAATGCTCTCCTACCTGTGCAAAAACTATTCTCCTCCTAATAATCTGAGTCTCAAACAAGTGCTCCCAAACTTAATTTAGAAATTCTAGCAGTTCCCACTGAACACCACAAGAATTGAGATCAAAGACTAGCAACCGACAAAACCAAATGAGAGCCGCTTTAGTGGCAATAGAAAAATCTTTAACAGCATTTCGTAAAGAAGGGGGGGGGAGCACACACAAGGGATCTGATTGAATGGCTCAGCGATGTAATCCCAAAAGCAATCAGTTTGTTTCAAATATTTTTTGTTAACACCCAAGCCGAACGGATCATTTAGATTAATTTTAAATCTAAAAACCTTCAACAAGTTTATTAAAACAGAACATTTTAAATTAGAGGATCATAAAATGGTCAAAAAACTCTTAACTAAAAATATGTTTCTTGAATCTTTAGACCTCAAGGGTGCATACCACTTGATCCCTATACATCAACGGCATCGTAAATATCTGAGATTTGTGTTTCCTGGGCAACTTTATGAATACACTTGTTTTCCTTTCGGCCTTAATACAGCGCCTTATCTATTTACCAAACTGCTGAAACCCGTATTATATTACTTACGGGAACGAAGTTTTATCGGTGTTATATATTGATGACTTTCTATTAATGGGCCGTACTTATGAAGAATGTCTATTAAATATAACTGTTACAAAGCAAATTTTGCTAGATTTAGGATTTATAATTAATTCGGAGAAGAGCGTTTTTGTTCCATGTATTAATATTAAATACTTAGTTTTTTTTTAATACTGTTGATAGTTGAAAATAGTGTTAAACTTACCATTCGAGAGTTTGCGAAATTGATCGGGATTTTATTGCGGCTGGCCCAGATATCAAATATGATTGGCTTTATACCAAAAATAGCGAAAGAGGAAATTTAGCTCTAAAAAAGTCATATGGGTCTTATAAACATGGAATAAAATTACTTCTGATATTTTAACTGACCTTATGTGGTGGAAAGATCACCTTTCTAGCAAAAATACTTTTCATAGTTTTACCCGTAAACTAGAAATTTCAGTCATAGTTCCCTCACGGGTTGGGGCGTTTATTGTAATGGGGATAAGTGTCGGGGTTTTTTGGTCTAAAAAAGATAAAAGTAATCATAAATTATTTTTAGCGAGAGTTTTTAGCGACATTTTTTAGGCTAAAATGTTTTGCGAATAATCTTGTTAATTGTGAAATATTATTGCGGATAGACAATACTACGCTATGGCTATCTCATATATATACAGAATGGGTGGCATTCAGTTCCCACATTTTAACAGTCTTGCTAGGGAAATGTGGGAGTGGTGTGAACAGCGCAACTTAGTTATCTTTGCTTCTTATATAAAGTCACAAGAAAATTTTAGTGCTGATAAAGAATCTCGTTGCCTAGATACTGAAACTGGATTTACGATTGCAAATTATGATTCAAAAATATTTGCCGTAATTTCCGAACGCCGGAAGTTGACTTATTTGCTTCCAGAATTAATGCAAAGTGTAGCAGATTTGCTTCTTAGTTTAAAGATCCTAGGGCTGAAATTATTGAGCATTTATAGTATCATGGGCAAACTATACTTTTCATGCTTAAAATAATTACTGCCCTGCAAAAAATAATTGCAGATAAAGATGAGGGTATCGTAGTGGTTCCCTGGTGGCCAAGTCAACTCTGGTCCGTTATTTCAGTCTCTACTTATCAAAAAGTCATTAATTTTTGCTCCTAATGCTCAATTAGAACTATCCATTGATAGGACACCCCATGCTCTATATACCAACCTTTCCCTGGAAGCAGGTCTCTTATCCGGCAGGACATGATCGTTAGAAAGGTTCCAGAAGAGGCTATTGAGGTGTTAATATCATCTTTGACATTGAGTCATCGATAAAACAATATGGAAATGGGTTAAAATTATGGTGGTATTTTTGCAATCACAAAAAAAAAAAAAAAAAAAAAGCTAAACGGTAAACATTTATAGCGGTAAACACTGTACGCTTTTCTCTGGCATTGCTAATATCACCACAAGTCGGTGAAGATTATCAAATTAAAAGATTTTTAAGGGTGATTACCAAATTTTACCAAAACGACCACCTTTACCCAAGTACCATGTAACATGGAATCCGACATTAGTTTTAGATTATGTAGGGACTTGTTACCCTAATGAAAAAATTAGTTGAGAAATGTTGACACGTAAATTATCGAAGGTAATGGCCCTGATAACGGCACACAGAGTACAAACATTTTCATTAATAGAAGTTCGAAACATCCAAATATCGGAAAAAAAAAGATAGAAATAGAAATAGAAATAAAAGTTCCAGCCAGAATTAAGACAACAGCTCCCAATAAATACCAACTCTTATTAATTATTTAAATTAAAAATTTTTTTTTAATAATTAAAAAAAAAAAAAAAAAAAAAAAAAAGAACCAAAATATGTGCTGCGAAGTGCTACTTAAACAGAACCGCAACAAGGCAAACAGATAAACTGTCACGACTTTTCCTCACTTACAAAAAACCCCATAAAGAAGCAACCGCTCAGTCTATCAGTCGGTGGATTCGTTGGGTCTTAAATAAGAGTGGAATTGATACATCTGTTTTTACGGCGCATAGTACCAGACACGCCTCCATATTGGCAGCTATTAACAGGGGTGACATCGATACGATACGTAATATAGCAGGGTGGCACGAGTCATCTCAAGTGTTTGCAAAATTTTTTAACAGGCCTCTAATGACCCCTGATAATTTTGCGCAAGCAATAATTGTCATGCAATAAGCAATACAACCTTAGAATTCCTAGATATAGTATTTACAATCGCTAAATATAAATATATATTTTTAAATTTACTATTAAGGACAATTTGTTATT